TCTCTGTTATACCTCTGAGGATGCCAGTCACAGCTGCTGGCGAAACGTCAGGTCCTACAATGCCAAGACCAGGGCCACACAGCCCGGAAAATCTACAACAGCTAATGAACTCCAGCTGTGAAAGCCTTCGACAACATTGTTAGGAAAGACTTCCTCAAAAGAGTTGTATGTACTAAAGCTGTCCCAGTAAAACCCGACTTTGCCTGGAACACTCCCCTGTGCTTCCTCGGGTCTCTGAAAACCTTACAGAAACCAACTACTGACTGATCCTGCTCTTCCCCCAACATGCACAGAGAGTTCAGAAGAGGGGCAGGCCCCATACGTGATTCCGTGTTGACTTTCAGAAGCACGTAGAATGCCTGGTCAGATAAGGGAAGAGGATGATTGCCAGAACAGTGAAGGGTCACTCGCAATGGCAATGAAATTTCTGGCCCCTTGACTAGGAGCGATTCATCAGACGAGAGAACCCCTAATCGTACCAGCTGACATTGTAATTAATTGTCATCACTTGGAAAACTGAAACTGGCTGGAGACTCAAAAGCCCTCCTAAGTGCAGAACAGGAAAGTGTGTGGTACGCGACTCACAATTTTACATGGGGTTGTGGGCAATGTTCCCTCTAAGCTGTGGAGTCTTGTGAGCAAAAATCCTACTTTGTGAGCTACTGGCATTAAAGTTGTGAGCAAGTGATTTGGCCACTGCATCAATTAGTTTGCTCTGGAGCCATCCTTCCTGAGCTAAGACAAAAATCTGTGAGCTGGAGGCTAAAAACTGTGAGCTAGCTCACACTAACTCAGCTTAGAGGGAACACTGGTTGTGGGCAATGCTCCCTGTAAGCTGTGGAGTCTTGTGAGCAAAAATTCTACTTTGTGAGCTACCGGCATGAAAGTTGTGAGCGAGCGATTTGGCTACTGCATAAATTTGTTTGCTCTGGAGCCCTCCTTCCTGAACTGAAACAAAAATGTGCAAGCCGGAGGCTAAAAAAACTGTGAGCTAGCTCACACTAACTCAGCTTAGAGGGAACACTGGTTGTGGGTCTGCTGTGGGGAGGACTGTTTTACAGCAGAACTTTTGCAGGTATTGCCCTTAGCATCTTACACTACAGGCCCATTTTATACTCACGGGCGTCTGCTTCTGCACACCACCCAAGGAGGATGAATGTCAGTGAAGTTACCAGGCACTTTCCATAATTCCCAGAAAACTCTCACCAAGAATGTCTCTGCTCTGATAACTCCCTCCTACCTTAACTGGGCTCCAAAAAATCAACATATGAAAGGGTTTGGTTGGACTACCAGCAGTGGAAGACCCACCACAGCAGTTTGGAAGCTGTTTCAAACCTTGGTGATGCACCTGGCAGTGTCACAAACCAATGAACACAAACAGACTATCCAAAATGGTTCCTCTTATGAAACCAACCAGCAACAGTTTCAAGAAAGGATAAAAGGAGCGCTCCTTCACAAAATGAGCTGCTGTCACGTGAAACTCACTAACACAAGATGTGGCCGCCTGGAAGGATTACTGAAAGGGAGTTGGACAGATTTATGGATGACAGGTCCATCACAGACTAACAGCCATGATAGCTGCCTCCAAGTTCTGAAGAACGATAATGACTGCTGGCAGATGTTGGGGAGAAGGGGAGGGGTTTCGCCTAGAGGCCATGATTGTGAAATTCCTTGTAGCAAACAGGCTACTGGACTGGGTGAGCCAGTCATCTCAACCATTATGGATGCTCTTATGTTTTTAAAACGCAAGAGGTGCAGCTACATTCAAAAGAACATAAGAGAAGCCAATGCTGGATCAGGCCAATGGCCCATCTAGTCCAACAATCTGTCACACAGTGGCCAAAAATACCAGGTACCATCAGGAGGTCCACCAGTAGGGTCAGAACTCCAGAAGCCCCCCCACTGTTGCCCCCCCCAAGCACCAAGAAGACAGAGGATCCCTTGCCCCAGACCGAGAGTTCCTATCTATACCTTGTGGCTAATAGCCACTGATGGACCTCTGCTCCATATACTTATCCAATTCCCTCTTGAAGCCGTCCATGCTTGTAGCCGCCGCCACCTCCTGTGGCAGTGAATTCCATGTGTTAATCACTCTTTGGGTGAAGAAGTCCTTCCTTTTATCCGTTCTAACCCGACCGCTCAGCAATTTCATGGAGTGCCCACGAGTTCTTGTATTGTGAGAAAGGGAGAAAAGTGCTTCTTTCTCCACCTGCTCTATCCCACGCATAATCTTATATACCTCGATCATGTCACCCCTCAGTCGTCGTTTCTCCAAGCTAAGGAGCCCCAAGCGCTTTAACCTTTCTTCAATCAAACATATTCACATATCCACATATTCCTACACACATCTTAAGTCGGGCACCAGGGGACAACTTCCAGACCCAAAGGGAGATGCAAATCAGAGGAACTCGACCCGCCTTGCTTTCCCACCCCAGCTCTCTTCCACTTCCGTAGCTGAGTCTGGGTTGTGGGGAGTGTTCCAATTCCCACACAGCCCTTTCCACTTGGAGGTCAGTCACAAGAATCCTGTTCACAAGTTACACAGAACGCATGTAGGATCTGTGCCGCACGGGGCTGCCAGCCTCCAGGTGGTCAAAAAAAGTATACACACCATGAAGAATGATGAAATCGCAAGTTATATAAGCAACTAAATTTATGTAATGCAATCAATATCTCAGTTTCTACGTACCAAAAACTCAACAGACTTTAAGTGTCCCTCATAAACAGTTGATACAGTCACGTTCATTCATTCAACAGGTGAACTCCATGTATTCTAACCATCAAGTTGACCTTGCTGTGATTTGACCTTGTTGAAAACTGGAAGCATCAGAGGTCGTCAGCCGGCTTGTCTTCCATTGGGTGCTTCCACAAGGCTCACAAACACTGACTCCAACAGGCCAGCTGAAATGCCTGTTTCGCCAATTTCTTCATGGGAAATTGTGAAATGCAAGCCTCAAAGATTCACCCAATTAAGGGTGGGCAGTCGGTCCCAGGTTTCCAAAACAGCAATAACTGCCAAAACTTTTTTTGTCAGGGCACCGCCCACCCTTTATCAGGGACGCTTAAAGATTGAATTTTTGGGACATAGAAATTGAGATATTTATTGCATCACATAAATTTAGTTATTTATATACATTGCATTTTTTATTTATTTATTTATACTTTCGATTTATATTCCACCCTCCCCGTATGGGCAGGCTCACAGCAGCTTACAAGTTAAAATATAACAGAATAAAAACAATAAAACATAGATGCATCAACAGAGCAATAATCTAAAATTCAGACAAGCAATCAAGTTTGTAAATAAAGTGCTGTTGCATATAGATGGGAGTAGCCTCTCCAAGGCTATGTTAGATGGTAGAGAGTGCACTGTGGCCATATCTGTGTCATTTGCTGTTCTTGTTGCTTTCAACATGAGGGCCTTTACTGTTCAGTCGCTAGCAGTTCAGGTGTTGTCCACGTGTTGGTGCTAATGGCAGCTCCTAATTGAAAGCCTGGTGGAAGAGCTCCATGTTATGTCTTCTGGAAGCTCATTCCACCAGTATGGAGCCACTACTGAAAAGGCCCTATCCCTAGTCGAGGCCAATTTGGCGTCTTTCAGACCAGGGAGAGTCAGGAGATTCTGCGACCCTGACCTCACTGCTCTCTGCGGAACATATGGGGAAAGGCGATCCCTCAGGTAGGCAGGCTCCCGACCATATAGGGCTTTAAAGGTCAAAACCAGCACCTTTAATTCATCATTCTTCACGTGCATATACTTAGTTTGACAACCTATCCCGTGATCTCTCTACCTTTGTAGTCTGCAGGTGGTGGCTGGAGATCTCCTGGGATTACAACTGATTTCCAGGCAACAGAGACCAATTCCACTGGGGAAAATGGATGCTTTGGAAGGTGGACTCTGTGGCATCATACCTCACCTCCCAGGTTCCACCTCCAAAATCTCCAGATATTTCCCAACCCAGAGCTGGTAACCCTAGGCATGCATGTGATTTTCCTTCATACATGAAGACAGATCAAGATGGGTCGCCATGTAAGTCCGTCTGTAGCAATATAAAAGAGCAAGAGTCCAGTAGCAATTTGGAGACTAACAAAATATGTGGCAGGGTAGGAGCTTTCGTGAGTCACTGCTCACTTCTTCAGATACCTGTATCTGAAGAAGTGAGCAGTGACTCACAAAAGCTCCTCCCCTGCCACAAATGCTGTTAGTCTTGAAGGCCTTACTGGGCTCTTGCTCTTTTCTGCTGCGACAGAAAGACTAACACGGCTACCCATCTTGATCTCTCTACATGGGAGGCACCACATTCAGCCGTACAGAATGGAAATCCATCAGCCTCATGATACAAGGACAGATGGACTTTCATTCTAGCTGTACCTGAGGAAGCGAGCAGTGACTCACAAAAACTCCTACCCTGCCACATATTCTGTTAGTCTTTAAGGTGCTACTGGACTCTTGCTCTTTAATACTGCTTCCTACATGTGTTAAGCAGTTCTCATGTTACGTTCGACACGGCTCAAAAGTGTGATCTAACCTGTACCTTTGCCCAGGCGCTGGTACCCAGTTTCATTTGTCAAGCAAACACGTGTTGGTAAGTGTGGGCCTCTGAACGTAAGAAAAGAGCCAATACGTGTTTGCTTTACAGGTAGGTGCGTTTCTAGCAACCCGTGAACAGGGTGTTCCTCCTCCTCAAGTGAGCAGAGCAGACACTTGACTCAGCCAAGGCGGCCCTCTGAAGCCGAGCTCTTTCCGGGAGAGTGAATCCGCCTGAGCCATCAACCCGCAGGCGCCCATGGGCAGGTGACTGTTCTTCTCTGTACGTAGAAAGCTAGCTACGCAGCCTCGCCTGTGGAGCTGCTGGGCACGGCGGCGGGTCCGATCTCGACCAAATCGGCCTGGCCCGCTGAGGAGAAGCGGACCGGGGGAGGGGGAGCCTATCGAGCGAGCGAGCGAGCGAGCTCCGCTCCCCCTCGCTGCAGCCGCAAACCGACACCACATGACTGACCTGCGAGACACTCCGCTCCACTCTTCCGCCGATGGGGCCGGCTCCGCAGATATGCGTCACGGCAGCGTCCGTGTGTCGTCGTCGTCATCATCACGCGACGCTCTGCTTACGCACGCCGCGCCGGGGCGGAGAAGCGGTCGGCTGTTGGTTCCTCCCCGCTTCCCCCAGCGGCCAATCGATGGGCGGCTTGGGCGGCGAGCGACGTGACTGTCAGCCAACGGTCGTGGAGGAAAGGGCTACACGGGGAGGAAGAGGCGCTGGTTGCTCGGCTGCTCGGTGACGGGGAAATGGCTGCCCTGGAAAGGGTGAAGGTGCTGGTGTTGGGAGATTCGGGTGAGCGCTTCCTCCGAGCGGCTGCGTGGCCACGGCCCGAAGGGGAGCCGAGGTCTGAACTGCGCATGCGAGAGAAGGAAGTGGTAGAGCCCTGCCCTGATGGGGGAGGGTAAGAGGGGACTGTACCACTACCCAGGCTCCGAATACCAAAGATTCCCCTGGGAGCTAGCGCCGCTGAGAGTCAGCTGACTGCACTAGGCTGTCTCTTTCTGCTGTGCTAGTTGCTTGTTCAACTTGTTAAGCCGCCCTTCCTTGCAAGCAGGGCTCAGGGCGGCTTACATCAAAACCAACACAATGAAGATTCATTAAATAACATTTAAAAACTACCAAAAAACGATATATTAAAGTTGATGGTGGGTTTTTGTTTTTAGTTTGAAGGAGCACATGAGTATCTATTTTAATGCATTTATTTCATATAGAAGACCCCTGTAGGCCAGAGTTTTCCAGTGAGTTAACAGGCATCCCTGCTTTTAGGTGCAACAGTACAAATAGCTAATCTTCAGGAAAGCAAATATACACCTGTCATAAATATTTGTTAAGATTTGATGTGGGCATTTTAATAGTGGGCAAAGTGAACTGTGCACAAAATTGATCTATATAAGTAACTGTGTAGAAGAACAGATTCCTTTATATCATTTGTTTCCTCAAATAAGATTCTGGTTCAAAGCGCTGAAAGACTGATAGTATACCCCTAAGCAGAGATACACCGTTCTAATAATTATTATCATACAAAAAATCTGATCCTTGGAGATGCCAGGGATTGAACCTGTCACCTTCTGGATGCCAAGCAGATGCTCTGCCACTGAGCCATGGCCCCTCTCCCTCCTTGAGCTTCTTGAGTGTTGTGTGACTGCGAAAGTCACCACCTGCAAGAATAGGTGTAGCCGAGATACAATTCTGGGTATAAGCTTTCCTGTGCATGCACACTTGTGGATGCACACAAACGCTTATACCCAGAATTAAATTTTGTTGGTCTTAAAGGTGCCGCTGGACTCAGATTTCGTTCTAATCCTAAACGGAGTTATTCTCTTCCAAGGCCACTGAACTCAATGGGCTTAGGAGGGATCAACTCTGCTCAGGAGGGCACCGACTATGCATTAGCCTACCTGAAAAGTACGTACATTTTGTTCTAATAGCCAGTTTGGTGTCATGGTTAAGAGCGGCGGACTCTAATCTGGAGAACCGGGTTTGATTCCCCACTTCTCCTCAAGAAGCCAGCTGGGTGACCTTGGGCCAGTCACAGTTCTCTCAGAGCTGTTCTCTCAAGAGAAGTTCTCTCAAGAGAGCTCTCTCAGCTCCACCTACCTCACAGGGTGTCTGTTGTGGGGAGGGGAAGGGAGAGGATTTTGTAAGCCGCTCTGAGACTCCTTCGGGTAGTGAAAGGCGAGGTATAAATCCAATCTCTTCTTCTTTGCAACACCCCCCCCTGCACTTTCAGACTAGGATATAAGGGCTTAGGGATCTCCATCAATGTTCCCTCTAAGCTGTGGGGTCTTGTGAGCAAAAATTCTACTTTGTGAGCTGCTGGCATTAAAGTTGTGAGCGAGTGATTTGGTTACTGCATAAATTAGTTTGCTCTGGAGCCATCCTTCCTGAGTGAAGTCAAAAATGTGTGAGCTGGAGGCTAAAAAACTGTGAGCTAGCTCACACTAACTCAGCTTAGAGGGAACACTGATCTCCATTCGTACTTACTCTAGAAAGCTCATACTCTGAAAATCTTGTTGGTCTCTAAAGTGCTACTGGACTGAAATCTCGCTCTTCTACAGCATGGCAACACAGCTACCCACCCAAAACCCAGGGGTTTTGAATTGTTCCTGTGCGTCAATGTATGGTTACCTGAATTTATGCATACCATAGATCCCGGTGGTCAGCCGTGTTGGTCTGAAGCAGTAGAAGAAATTTAGAGCCAAGCGGCACCTTTAGGACCAACATAGGTTTATTCAAGGTATGAGCTTCCGTGTGCATGCATTCTACCTTCCACTCCAGTGTATCTGAAGAAGTGTGCCGTGCACACGAAAGTTCATACCTTGAATAAAGCTTTGTTGGTCTTCAAGGTGCCCCGCTGGATTCTTGTGTATGCCATATTAAGTATATTATGGTGGGATAGAACTGGAATTTGCTAGCACTTTAACACTTCACTTGATTTTAGTATTGTTTTTATATTGTTGTATTATTTTATTAGGAACTGTATTTGTGTAACTGTATGAACTGTGTTTTATGTGTTATGGGAGTTTTTACCCTGTTGTGAGCCGCCCTGAGCCAGCCTAGGCTGGATGGTCGGGATAAAAATCAATAAAATAAAAATGAAATAAATTTACTGAATGTTTGGATATATTTTAATGTACCCATCAATGGTTGTTGATTGAATAGTTATAGTATTTTTGGGTCAATTTATCTTGTGAATTTTAAATGTAGGTATTTAACGTGCAATATGTTTGGACCTAAGATGGTTTGATGTTTTCATATTTCTTTTCAGCCTGTTGGACCCGTCTGTTTAATGGTTGCTCTCCTTTAGCTTTGATTTGTTGCTGGGAATGTGATGGCCTTTGGCTAATAAACATTATTTGACTTTGACTTAGAGTATAGTATCTGCTAAACCACTACTAAACCATCTACTAAATCCCTCCCTAGCTCTAACCTCACATTCAACTTGAAATAGTGTTAAAGGCAATGATCCTTGCATTCTTACTATGAATTCTTCCTGCTTTGTAATTTTAGGTGCAGGGAAGTCATCGCTGGTTCACCTGCTCTGTCACAACCAGATGTTGGGAAACCCGTCTTGGACAGTGGGCTGCTCCGTAGACGTACGAGTAGGTGACCCATTTAACTCGTAGCCGCCTTGATGCACTGTGTGTTTCATAGAACACGAGAAGCAAGCTGTGTAATTTAACCGGAGCCAAAACCCTGAAGCCAAATTGGGAAAGTAAAAACCAAACAAACCACAATTAAGGTGGAAAGAAGACTTGGACTCGTGAAGCTGAATCGGACCCTTGGTCCATCACAGTCAGTATCGTCTACTCACACTGGCAGTGGCTGTCCGGGCTCTCAGGTGGAGGTCTTTCACATCACCTGCTACCCTGGCCCTTTTACTTGGCGATGCCAGGGATTGAACCTGGGACCTCCTGCATGCCAAGCAGAGGTCTTTCCACTGAGCCACAGCCCTTCCCCAGGGGCCAAGTATCGTTATTGGATAAATGTAGTCACTGCTCAGTTTCCGAACAATTTCTTTGCACAAAAGCTGAGAAGTGTGGGGTAGTAGACTGTAGGGGTGGCCAAACTGTGGCTCTCTCACACATATTGTGTGGCTCCCGGCAGGGCAGCTGGGCAAGCGAACCCCGATCGGTCTTCCCTTCCCCAGCCAGTTCCCCTTCCTGGGTAGGCTTGAGGCAGGGGGGAGCAGAGAAAGAAAGTAACTTCAGCTTGAAATGCGTTCTCAAAGCCCCCCCCCCCAGCCTACAAATATCATTGGACAAATAAATATCAGTATCTCTTCTTATCCCTTTTGTTTTTATTTTTGGCAGTCTCGTTTAATGTTAACGAAAAGCAAATTTGCATATTTTCCAATAAAAACATGCCTGTGATATTGGTTCACGTCATGCGGCTCTCAAACATCTGATGTTTATTCTATGTGGCTCTCACGTTAATCGAGTCTGGCCACCCCTGGTCTAACCACTTCTTAGATTGTTTCGGCGATTAGCCGGGTCGGTCTGCGGTCGAACAGCTAGATTCCGGGTCCAGTAGAGTCTTTGAGACCAACAAATTTTCAATGTATGTCCTTTTTCCCATGAAGCTCCTGGGGACGGGGGCCTTTGATTTGCTTGTGGCACGTGGCACCGTGCCAGATTCTGCCCCAGACCAGCCTCATCGTTGGATAAGGACTCCTCGGGAGTAGGAGACTCCATGAGAGGAGAGGATTCCCAATGATTCCTGTTATACTCCAGGCTTCTTGCACGCTTAGGACCTCCAAGAGAAGACTGCCTACCTTCTCTGAGACAACCATCTCCTATTCAAGCTTTGAGAGGATCAGCCCCCCCCCCAATTCATTTCTGCCTCCCACCATCAGTCTTCCCTGGGAGCAAGGCAGGCCCGTAGCCAGGAATGTTTAAGTCGGGGGGCATTTAGATTTCTTAGGGGGCCTTGGCTGATTGAATTAAAGGTAATTTAAAGTCAATTAACTTACGCTGAAGTGAATTGACTTACCTCTGTGCCCTTGCCAGCCTGGGAGGCTGTGGGTTAGAGAAAGACATGCAAGAAAGTGGGGCACAGGAACCCCCCATGGGATCCCAGGCACTCGGGGGATCCTTTACGGGGGAAAGAGACTTTCTGGAGGAAATAGACGCTGTCTGGCTCCGTGCAGCGACTGTAGCCGGCCCTTCGTGCCAAACAGCTGCACGGGAACATCCGGCTCCTTCCCCGCACCCACCACCACTCGGGGGCCCTGGGCTGGATGGGGAGTCGTGGGGCCTCGCCAATAAGTGGGGGGGCCTAGCCCCGAGATGCCCCACTGTAGCTACGGGCCTGGAGCAAGGGAGTCAGCGCTAGTCTGGGGCATGCGGAAGAGAGCGCATTTAGTACCCCAGGGCCTTCCCTGCTCTAGCTGACCACGGGAGGAAGATGCCCCTCCTTTAAGTCCTGGCGGGATTGGGGACCTAACTCTCCCTGCGGGAAAGAAGGGATGAGACAAGAGACTTCCTTCTAACTCTTCAGCTGGGTCTTCAGCTGAGTTCTCCAACCCAGCTTGTCCCGGACAGCTCCCAGCCTTCTAGCTCCATCTCCCACACCAGGGGTCCCCAGCCTTTCTTAATCCCATAGGCACCTTTGTAATTTTGGAAGGAGGTGGTGAGCATTGCCCCCAAATGGCTGCCACAGGGGGTGGAGCCAAACCAGAATGGCTGCCTCAGGAGGTGGAGCAAAATGGAATACTTCCCTCCTCACCACCTCCCAGGAAGGAAAAAATCTTGGGGGGGGGGGGAATGGAACCATGCGCTGACTTAAGGAAAGCCCAGATGCTTACCTGTCCTGCTCATCCTGCAGTGGAAAGCCCTTTCATTTGAATGAGGACAGCCAATAACAAGCCCTGCCTCACAATGGCCCCGCCCACTTTCTGAGAAGCTTGGTGGGCACCAAGAGAAGTACTGGCCGTCGCCCTGGTGCCCACAGGCATCATGTTGGGGAACTTTGTCCTACACTGAGGGTCAGCTCCAGCCCAGCCTGATCAGAGCAGTCTTCCAGAGCAGTCTTTCCCCCGGCTGCCTGGTTAGAGGACGGGACACGGTAGCCGTGTTACCTAGTGCCCTGTACATTGACAGCGTTATGTGAATTACACATGAAGGGACTGCCATGCAAAAGAACCTGGGTTCACATTGCAACATTTTGCTTTTTAAGTCTCAAGTCACGTTTTTACATTCTGTCTGTCAGATCCACGACTACAAAGAAGGAACTCCAGAAGAGAAGACCTATTACGTTGAGCTATGGGATGTCGGCGGCTCAGTGGGCAGTGCCAGCAGCGTGAAAAGCACTCGGGTGGTGTTCTACAATTCAGTCAACGGTAAGGAAGGCTCTCCCACCTCCTCTTTCAGTATTACAGTTGTATGGGGTTGGCAGGCGTTGCCCTGTTTGCTGCTGCACCGTGGATCATCCTGTGTTGGAGAGGGGAGGGGCTATATGGCACCCAACCATACTCCCCTCTAAGCTGCGCTGGGGGTTGCTGGTGCACAGAATGTTAGCAGGCAGTGCAGGGATTACTGCTTCAGCCCACGAGGCATTTTCCCCTCCATTGGAAGGAATGGAGGATGGGGGCACCTCCTTCTGGGGCCCATAGAATTGGACCCTCTGATCCAATCTTTTGAAACTTCGGGGGGGGGCAGGGGTTGAGGAGAGGCACCAGCAGCTATGCTGCAAATTGGTGCCTCTACCTCAAACAACAGCCCCCCCAAGCCCCAGAGACCCCTGGATCGATTCTCCATTACAGCCTATGGTCAGCCCCCGCCCCCATACAACGATATTGGCAACGTATCCCCCTCCGCTGCCGCATAAACCCCGTTTCTCCAGCTATCGTTGCATAAATTATCTCCCGCTTGTCTTTCATCTCTGCTGTCTCTGAATCCTTTCCAACTGTAAATGTCACAGGAAAGAACAGGCTGTAGTAGTTGCTGGAATCAGTGCGGCTTTGCCTGCAGTGCGAAAGCCGGTGCGCGGCGCAGTCTGGAAACAGCCTCTGTGCCCTTAATGAACAGACCCTGGAAATACATGCTGAATGCCACTGCCGGGTTGGCCGTGGGTGCTAGAGATTGCTTCTTGGATCCAGCGGTAGTTGCAAGTGAACAGAGCTCACGGATCTTGCCCCCTTTCCCTTAGCAGCCCCCGAAGGTGTCTTACCAAACGTGGAGAAATCTTGAGTCGCTGTAAAGAGAGAGAACTCGTAAAACGTGAACCAAAACTAGCAGGCAAAAAATGTCTACCTCAGTAATTAATTACCAATTTAAAAACCTTGCAAATAAAATGGTTGAAGGAAGTTTTATTCCTGTGTTGTTGTTTTAAAAGAGTAGTTTTGTTTTTTTGTTTTGTGTTTCTTCACAATGTAAGTTATCCAGAGATGCCCGGTCAGGGAAACATGGCTTGCCCTTGGCAGTTCCGGCTCTGGATCAGCAGTCTCCAAGCCATGGTCCAGGCATCGGGAGGTGCCACCGGCTTTGTCCCCCCATCCGGCTTCCTGATTCCCCCTCCCCTTTTTCCTGGTGTGTTCGCTTTGGGACTGAGTGTGGCTTGAGCTAGTTGGGATCACCTGAAGCTATGGTTTGCAGAGAGGTTGCAAGCTCTGGTTTTAGGAAACCCTGGTTCCTTCATACCAAGGTAGCCCAACATTCAAATCAGGCTTCTTATCAAAACTATGGTCCCCACCCCTACTCCTGGCAATTAGGTTTTATTTGATAGGGTTTTGTGAAGTTTTGCTTAGTGCAAGGATCCCCAACATGGTGCCCGTGGGCGTCATGGAACCCCAAGTCCATAGCCAGGATTTTGTGGCTTGTGGGGCAAATTTTTTTGTGATGGGGCTGAAGTTCTCAGTGCAGAACGAAAAGCCATTTAGCCAATAGAAAGCTGTGACCAGGATAGAGCTCTAAATTGCAATCTGTTGACCACTTTAGATGACAGTTCTCAGCTGCTGCAAGTTAATCACTTCTGCCAGCTTAAGCAACAATTCTGAGAACAAGCCGGCAGGTGGGGGTGATGACTTCTAGAGTCAAGAAAGCTAACACTTAGGCAGAAAAACTCTCTAAAAGGAGACCCGTTTCTTGACACAGAGTTAGATGGGATCCTAGAGGTCACCTATTCCAACCCCCTTGCTCAGTGCGGGAATTAGTCAACCACAGCACCCCACTCTGCTTAAAGGAGCGCACCCCTTTTAAAAAATGTTTAAGAATAATTGAAAAAAAGCATTTACAGGAGAAATTCTTGTGGGGCTGCACGTTTAAGAAAGGGGGCAGAGCCCCCCAAAAGCCCCACCATCGCCACGAGCCTGTGGCACCCGCTGACCGGGCCTGTGGCACCCACTGACACCTTTTCTGGTGCCCACCAGGTGTTTTTAAAAGGTAGCCGTGGCCAAGTGGGTCTTTTGTTCGGCAAGGCTTCTGGGTAACTATTGGAGATCTGATGGGCTGTGCAGGTCTTTATAAACATTGCTTTGGCAGCAGCTTCCACCACAGCACAAGACTCTTCACTCTGTGACTGAAGGGAAGCTGAGGCAGCCATTGAGTGGCTGACTGTGCCATTGTATAGCAGCCATTTTGTGTCTACGCCCACCATACGGTGTCAGAATTCCAAGGGTTCTGCAGGCTCAAAAAGGTTGGGAACCCACGGCTTAGTGTGTTGAGTTTGAACTCTAACTTTGCTCCTCCGGCTTTCCCTTCTCACAGCTGAATGTTCACAGCAGCTCCGCTCTCCTGCTGCCTTTTCAATACATCCTGTCATTGGCTGTGGTCACACTGGCGGCTTGGCGCCCAGAGCCGTCCTGAGCCGGCCTTCGTGGGGAGGGCGGAATATAAATCAAATGAATAAAATAAAATAAAAATACGGTGCCGCCTCGAATTGAACCAGTTGAAAGTGTTGCGGGGCATATCGGCCACACAGCGCACCCTGTTGTGGGTTACCCACGGAGACATCCCGTGACAAAGTATCTGCATTATTGCAGCACCTCAGCCACAGAGCACACTGCCCAAAAATTTCAAAATTCATGCCCGCGCATAAGTGCGCATGTGTGTGCCTATGTGCACATGCGCTCATGTGGATGAGCGTGCATGCGCATATAGGCAATTAAAAAGAAAAACCTCCCTAGCAGCAGAATGGATCTGCAGGTTCAGACTGTGCATGCTCCCCCATTTCAGAGATCCAGCCATGTGCAATGACTGCGCAGGGAACCGAAAACACCACTTGTGATGTGGTGCCTTTTTAACCCGGCTCCAAGTCATTCCATGACAGTATAAGTATGGCTGGGAAATGTCTGACAGATGTGGCTGTCTGACTGTGCCCATTTGATCCGGAGGGGAGGAGTGGCTGTGTCGATGGGCCACACTGCCCGTGTGATCACAGCCATCGTTTGCCGTGACTGTCATACTTAGCCATTGTGACTCAAAGTGGCTCATTTTGATATTGACCCTCTCCTCCCCCGAATACCCAAGTACCGTTCAGTTGGCTATTGTGGCTTCATAAAGCATCCACTGGTAAAAAGTTGGTCAGACTTTCCAGATGTTGCTTTGAAGGGATACTCCACTTCTTGCATCTGGGCCTTCTCCCCAACCTGCCGTCTTATTAGGTTAACCCGCAGCTCACCTGATTTGACGGCTGAAGTCCTGGAACGCTTTTGTAGTCTCTTAGGCTTGACTTGGGGTTCCGTTCAATCCAGTTGTCCCTTCTTGTGTTTCTTACTCATTCAAGTACAGAATGCTGCAGCCAAGATGTCGACTAGAGTGGCTTGCAGGGAGCTGATCACTTGATTCCTGTTCCGTCTACATTACAACATAAGTGAAGCCCTGTTGGATCGGGCCAGTGGCCCATCCAGTCCAACACTCTGTGTCGCACAGTGGCCAAAACCCAGGTGCCACCAGGAGGCCCAGCAATGGGGCCAGAACTCCAGAAGCCCTCCCACTGTGCCCCCTTAAGCACCAAGAA